TCTAAATTATATATACACAGACATACACACATGTCTGTGCATGCACACATAGGATTGCATATATTTATATATGTGTGTCTGTGTTTGTATTCATTCTAAACCACCCATTGGCTGTTTTAACACAACATAACCAATTATGAGTGGGGTTTGTGTATTGTTTGAACAGGAAAAACCCAGTCAGCTTTGTGGTTAAACAAAATGTCTTCCTTCCTAAACAGTTCTGGATACTTCTGCATTAGATCAGTCAGATGGGTCATGCAAATAAACAAGGAAATACAGTTTTAACAGAGGAACATTTATTTATTTATTTATTTATTATTATCAAATTTATAGACCGCCCTTCTCCTGAAGGACTCAGGGCGGTGTACAGCCAAAGTAAAAAACATAGATACAAACATTAAAAGCAATTTAAAAAGATATATATAAATTTGGCCCCAAAGTTAAAAAAACAATAACAAAACATATTTAAAACATTTAAAAAGCATTAAGCCAGCCCGGCTTGCTGAAAAAGGAAGATCTTCAGGGCACGGCGGAAGGCACCGAGGTCTTGAATTCTTCGTATCTCTGGGGGCAGTTGATTCCAGAGAGCAGGTGCCCCCACAGAAAAGGCCCTCCCCCTGGGGACCACCAGTCTACATTGCTTGGCCGATGGCACCCTGAGGAGGCCCTCTCTGTGGGAGCGCACCGGTCGGTGGGAGGTCGTTAGTGGCAGCAGACAGTCTCGAAGGTATCCAGGTCCTATGCCATGGAGCGCTTTAAAGGTGATGACCAACACCTTGAAGCGCCCACCCAAAAGACCACTGGGAGCCAGTGCAGCTCACGCAGGAGTGGTGTTATATGGGAGCACCATGCAGCTCCCGTCACTACCCGCGTGGCCGCATTCTGGACCAGCTGAAGTCTCAGGGTGCTCTTCAACATTGCTCTCTTCTGGCTGCCATCATAGAGACGAGTGCCTAGATCTCCTCCGCAAAAACATGGTATCTCTGGGAACATCCTCTTTTCTGCCCCCCCCCTCCCCAGCGATCCTGGCTGGTGATCATGGTGAAAAAAGAGCAGGCGTGAGTGCGGGTGGGCACGATATCCCCTACTCTATGTAAAGGGGTTCTGTCTCACTCAGGCCTCAGTGGTCAATTTTACATTTGTCCCTTTGCAGAGGCTGGACTTTTTCCAGAGGTTGCTTTTTGGGAGGGGGGGAGGGATTTTTGCATCCTTGGCCATCTGCCACAAGCACACTGAATGTTTATCCAAGGATAGCAGCAGGTGAGGTTAATTCTTTCATGCAACACAAGCCTTGAGCCTCACAGTTTACAATTGTTACATCAGCACACTTGCCTGATCTTTTAATTCAAACACAGTTGTGCGTTTTAATTTGGACAAATGGTCAATCCTGTGCATGTTTTTGCAAGAGACTCGCATCCAGCAATTCTTCTGGGCTGAGCAAATGCACGGAGAGCCTGGAAGGGTGCTATTTCACAAAAATCTTTCTCTCTCCAAAGTCAGGGAGATGACCTTCTCAGGAAGGAAAAAAATATCTGTCATTCAGTGCCAAGGCGCAACCCAACATTGGCCACCTTTGGCTTCTGTAAGATTACATAATTGTATTTCCCTGAGGGGTAATGATATTGATAGGAAACATTGAGCACTGAAAGATGAGGTACACAAAGCTTTTGAAGGTTTAGGAGATGAAGCCAATGATTTTGGGGAAGTGCCTTGGTTATGCAAACCCAGCTTGCGTCTATTATGGAGAAACGTCTGGTACCCATTTTTGTCTGCAGTTTTTTGGCTGAAAATTTCCTTCCTCCATACAATAAAACTGCTCTTGGTTTGCTGACAGCTATACAGCCGAGGCCAATCCCTGAAATTAACCTGAGAGGAAGTCTGCTTAATCCACTTTTGAACCTCAGCTCAAAAGGTTTTGGAAAATCTGCAAGTAGCTTGCAGTAAGAGGCATTATCCATTCAACTTTGGAGACAGGAGTTGCAATTTGAACTATTAAGAAATTTGAGATTGAAATTCAATGAAGTAAGACTTGGAACAAATGTCAAAAATAATAGTAAAAAGTTTGTTTCAACATATAGAGCTGTGGTGGCGCAGCAGTTAGTATGCAGTATTGCAGGCTAACTCTGCCCACTGCTAGCAGTTCGACCCTGACCAGCTCAAGGTTGACTGGATCTTCCATTCTTCCAAGGTCGGTAAAAAGAGGACCCAGATTGTTGAGGGCAATATGTTGACTCTGCAAACCGTTTAGAGAGGGCTATAAAGCACTATGAAGCAGTATATAAGTCTGTGCTATTGCTATACTGTATAAAAAAAAAATAAGAAAAAGGTCAAAGAAATAATTGGTCCACTAAAGGGAAAAGATCGCAAGGAAGTGACAGGCAACAGGGAGAAACCAGGCCTGCTTAATTCTTTCTTTGCATCTGTCTTCACAGAAAAAGAAAAAAATAGCAATCTACCAAAAACAGATCCATAAAAGACAGACTAGGAATTCAAATTAAAATAGTAAGGAAATGGTAAGAGAACCCCTGTCCACTCTAGAGGAGTTCAAATCACCGCAACGTGATGGATTACAACCCAGATTAAGAAGGATCTGGCAGATGTGATCTCAGAACCACTGAACTTTCAAAGATCCTGGAGCACCAAGGAACTACCAGAGGCCTGGAAAACAGCTGATGTGGTACCCATCTTCAAAAAAGAGGGTGGGGGGGGGACCACAGATCCAAGAAACTACAGATCAATCAGCCTGACATCAATACCTGGAAGTTCCTGGAAAAGATCAAATAACAGTTCTGTGAATACCTAGAAGCAAGCAAAGTTATAACCAGAAGCCAACGTAGGTTTGTCAAAAACAGATCATGCCAAACAAATCTTATTTCATTGTAAATTAGTGGACCAGCAAAATGCTGTGTACTAGTATACTTGGATTTCAGTAAGGCATTTGACAAAGTAGACCACAACCTACTTCTTGGTAAGCTAGAAAAATGTGGGATCATCACCACTAGATGGATTCATAACTGGCTGACAAACCACACTCAACATGTAGTCCTTAATGGAACTACATCTACATGGAGGGAAGTAAGCAGGTTCTGTCTGAGGCCAGTACTATTGAATATCTTCGTAAATGATTTAGATGAAGGAATAGAAGGGGAACTCATCACATGGTACTAAACTGGCAGGATCAGGCAATGCCCCAGAAGGTAGGCTCAAGATCCAGATGGATCTCAACACATTTGAACACTAGGCCCTATCTAACAAAATGAAATTCAATGTAGAGAAAAGATTTTATACTTAGGCCTGAAAAACCAAATGTACAATGAAACTTGGCTCAATAGCAGAACTGCGAGAGGGATCTAATCGACAATCACTTAAATATGAACCAGCAGTATGCTGCAGCAACCAAAAAAGCCAATGCACTCCTAGGTTGCATTAACACAGGGAAAGAATCAAGATCACGTGAAGTGTTAGTACCGCTTTATAAGGCCTTGGTAAGACCACATTTGGAATACTGCATCCAGTTTTGGTCACCCCAATACAGTATAAAAAAAGATGTTGAGACTCTGGAAAGAGTACAGAGAAGAGCAGCAAAGATAAGGGGACTGGAGGCTAAAACATATGAAGAACGGTTGCAGGAATTGGATATGTCTAATCTATTGAAAAGAAGGACTAGGGGCGCCATGAAAATAGTGTTTCAATATTTGAAGGGCTGCCATAAAGAAGGGGTTATCCTATTTTAGCACCTGAAGGTAGAACAAGAAGCAATGGATGGAAACTAATCAAGGAGAGAACCAACCAAGGAGAAATTTCCTGACAGTGAGAGCAATAAACCAGTGGAACAGCTTCAGAAGTTGTGGGTGCCCCATCACTAGATGCTTTTAAAAAGAGATTGGACAGCCATTTGTCCGAAACGGCATTTGCTTGAGCAGGGGGTGGACCTCCAACTCTGTTCTAGCCTTATTCAAATTTCAGAAACATGATTTAATTCTCAAATTCAACACTTCTATCAAGTTTTCATCCAGATTTGCAAATGGATTTAGTTGTTCTTAACTTTACTGATTTACTTTTGGTTATAGGGATTAATTGTCCAAAGAAGGCAGTTTAGGGTAAAGGAAATCACCTATTTATAAGATTTTTGGTCTTCCAAAAGCAGGGCCTCAAATATGTGAAGCAGAGTTAATATAGCTTCCTCCCTAGAAGGCCAACTGAATGTCATTTTATAGGGAGTAACTGTTATTAGCTATTTGAGTTTGAAGGTTTGACTAAGTGAAACTATTAATCAACTTGCTCTATTTATATAATCAATGTCACAGAAAACACCCAACCGTTAGCTTCTGGATAGGTGTTCCTTTCTCTATGTGGCACAACAGAGGCAGAAAGTCTCCCCTCAACAAATCCTACTAGACCACAAGAATATTAGTAGGTAAGAGAATTCATCCTCTCACAATCCTGGCCAAGTTCATTTTGGCAACACAGGAGAGAAAAGCAGCAGGTTTCCTGAGTTTCCCCTTTCAAGACGGTTAAACCTTTTTTTGAAATATTATCTCACCTAGTGCAAGGATTAGGGGCATGTCTGGAAAACATAATCTCCGAGGACTGGAAAAACATTAGACCCTCTAAATCAAAAATAATTCACTTTTTTTTTTTTTGGTTTTAACCGATTTTGGCTCTCTGAGCGACCAAAGGGGCCCTGGAAGGGACACATTATTTTCTTTAAAAATTGTTCCTGTTTGCAATTGTTTGAACCTACAACTTTTTAAAAAATGTAAGTCCATTTGCTTGTAAAATGGATATCACGCTAAGGCTGACAGATATGAATCAAATAGGAGGAGGAAGATTATGTATGTTTGCTACCTTGAGTTATTTATAAAAAATAGTAATGGTCATATATATATATATATATATAGTTCCACTCTTGCTAAAATGTTCTATTAGCAGACACCACCCTCTGCTGGCAACTCCAGAGATTACACAAAAGCAGGGAGGAAAAAAATGAAAAGGAATTCTACTCGTGAATATTCTTTAATGACAATCTAGATAAAAAGCTACTGCACCAAATGATAGAAATATATAGTATGAAGTGAAAAATTCCAGAACAATTGTTTAATAATAGCGAAATGTTCATTTGACTTTATTTTAAAGAAAATATGTAATTGTACATAGTACTCTGTACTAATTGAATAGATGTCAGGACTAGCTTCTTATACATCCCTGGCAAACACTAAGCTATGGGTGAAGTTTTATCACTAGCCTCAAAATTCCTTTCAACAGTGCAGAGCTACATCTCCCATTTCCTAACGCAGCAACCCTGTCCTGCAATTTGCCATGGTTATTACCAAAATCACTTTGTGCTGCTATTCTGATTCATATGTTGAAGAAGTACAAGCTGACATACTGCTTCTGGTTCAGTCCCCCATAAATTGACATTTTTTTCATGTCCACACACACATACAAAATGCTCCTTTAAAGTGATTTTTAAAGGGGCTTTTCTACCATTGTATTTTGAAATAAAATAAACACGTCTCATTTATTTATTTGCAACAAAATTGGGAAAATCTTCCTCTGCACTATAAGCAGAAGTACCTGCACTGAAGCAGGTACTTCAGCCTGGGGCTTGTGAATCTGGCTGGTTCCTTTAAAGATACATCATGATCTAATTCTTCAGCATCTTAGTCCTGCATCACAGAAAAGGTTTCTTTCAATCTCTTTGACTGACTGAAAATTTCCTCAGAATCTAAGACAAGATGTGATATTCTCATGCCTGCTGGTGTTATGTCTGTTGCACAACTTGTAGGTTCATGCTCTCTCTTTAAATTTAAGCTTCCTTTTGAGACCTATTTTTTTTTTGTTGTTGTTGTTCTTAACTCAGAATACAAATGAAAACTAACAGCACTTTTAAATGACTGAGTCTCACTGATAAGGAATTTTTTTCTTCAGGCAGTTAAAGTACAAACCTATATATGTGTACAAAACATGTTTATACTTGGAAAAAGTGGTAATAGGAAGTAGAAATTTATACCTATCATTTTCTTCTGATATATTAGAATTATAGTCAATATTTTTTGCTTGAGTATTTGCCAGGTTGAATCTTAAATGAATAGCAATGATCTTGTTAGATTAAAAATAAAGAAAACCCACCTTAGAAAAGACAGTAAGGGGCCACTTTAAATAAAAATGGTCAACCACCCTTCATTTTTCATTATGGTTGGCTGGATCTATATCACAAATATAAATGGTTTGAAATCTCAACGAACATTTACCAGTGGCAGTTATGAGGACAAAGGAACAGTATTGTAATAGCGCTAAGGCAGAAAGAAACGAAAGTACCACCACGTCCTGTGAAAACGTGAAGATTTCAGAGCCTGAGAGGGTGGCAGATCCTCATGGGCTCTGCATTCTTCTCGCCATGACTGAAGCCGGTACTGAAAAAAGGATAGAATTTGCTAGCCCGCAACTGGTGGAAAGTAAAGAGGAATGACATTTCCTCGGCGTTATAAAAAGTCAGCTTTTTGGCCTTGCAGTCCAACAATACCCCCACTTTCCTCAGCGAGCACTGGGGCTTCAAACGTATCCAGGGAGTCGCCGCAGCCCAATACTTGGAGTCGTTCCACAGTCTTATTGTCCAATAGCCATTATCTGGGCACAGCCGGACTCTTGCTGCCCGGTCCACATTGTCTGAAGCCACTCCTAATTCCCACTTGGTCTTGTTGCCCACCCAGACTTCCCAGTAATGCTGCCCGCTTTCAAAGGACTCCATGGCCAACACGTTCACGCTCTGCAGGAAACGTCTGGGGCTCCTGGGTACTGCCTGTGGTGACTCCCTCTCTGTCACTGAAGTCAGATCTTTGGAGAGGAGGAGGTTGGGGTGGGCCGAGTCTGGATCCAGGGTCAGAACAGCAGGAGCTATGAAACAATGCATAGAGTTAGGTGAGGCCTTTGCTGTCTGAGACCTCTGCCGTATCTCATTATCCCAAGCCTTCTTCAAACAGGGAAACACACCTGGGCTGATGGATTTCAGCATCTTTCTCCAAATTATGTACTGCAAGGGCCCATCACACAGCTCCGTGTACTTTTTTAGAGACGAAGTCAACGTTCCTAGTTGCACTGCTGGTCTGGAATGGAAAGAAATGTAGCTAAACAAGACAGAGTATAGCCATCACAACATTCCTCCATTATCAAGTAAATTGTCTCCAGCCTCAAAGCTTTCCAGTCAATTCACCTGGACGTTTATGCAGTACTTTTATTGAGCACAAAGTGCTCAACGCTTTTATGGAGCAAATTACCGTGTTCCCGATTTTATAAAGAAGTGGCAGTAAAACTGTTATAAAGTGGTTCAGTCATAGCTGTTTGCCGATTCCACATAACAGATGGAAGTAAGCTCAAATTAGGATGTAGAGGTGTTTTTAATTAAATCCACCAACCCTACCACTTCTTCTCCAAGATCAGGAAACTATACAACCCTTTATTGCCTTCTGAAAGCAAGTAGCTAAGGAAAGAGGCCTGGGCTCTTGCTTCTGATTCCAGCATAGGTAGTCCTCAACTTACAACAGTTTGTTTAGTGACTGTTCGAAGTTACAACAAGCACTGAAAATAGTGACTTATGACCATTTTTCAACTTATGATCATTGCAGGCATCCCCACGATCGCATGATCAAAATTCAATTCAGATTGGCAACTGACTTATATTTATGACAGATGCAGTTTCCCAGGGTCATGGGATTACCTTTCATGACCTTCTGACAAGCAAAGTCAAAGGAGAAAGCCAGATTCACTTAACAACCGTGTTACGAACTTAACAACTGCAGTGATTCACTTTACAACTGTGTCAAGAAAGATCATAAAACGGGACAAAATTCACTTAAAAACTGTCTCTCTTACCAACAGAAAATTTGGAGCTCAATTGTGGTTGTAAATTGAGGACTACTTACACTACTAGGGAACCATGCAACTCATTGACCCCCGTAATTGCAGATGTTTGAAGAATGAAGCATCCTTGGAAACTGCCAAATTCCTACAATATCAGTTCAGCTTAAATCGGAGGGGAAGTTTCTGACCTGGGCATTGCACAGTCTAAGGGGTTTGTAGACCCATAGTTTGGAGGGCCAGGAGAAAGTCCTAAGCATCATGCAAGAAACTAGTTTGCAGACAACAGAAAAGTACACAGTGTACAAATGGACCTAATAAAAATATAAACCAAATGCTATTAACAAGTTAATTTTAAACTCTTGTTTCCACAGAAACCTCCAGCCCTTTTCTTACATGCAAAAATGTCCCCCTGGTACAGTGAAGGAGAAAAAGAATTGCACAAGCAATCTTTCCCTGTCCCAGTTAACACGAATAAAATGGATTCCACATCTCCAATGTAATAATTAGAGCAATTTGGCAGCATCACAATAAAGCAGAACCACAAGATGCACACTGGGATCCAACAGGGCCTTGAAAAGTGAGAGATTTGTGTGTCTGTTTCCTGCCCACCTGGGTGAAGCTGGAAAGCTCTCTAGGATTGGCAAAATCAGATTAACTGAGCTCATATTGGATCTGATGTCCTGCAAATCTGGCAGGCTAGTCTTCGGTCCATTAGTTCTGAGGAACTACAAGTGGAGCTCACTCAAGTAGCCCAACCATTTCCCAAAAGCTCCTCCTAGCACATCTGTGTCCAGCATTCAGAGGATACATTCTTGGCCTGTTCACTGGCTTCCTCCAAACTTTCAGTGCGTTGAATACTAAGGTGATGATATCCCAGTCTCCACCCTGCTGAAATTATCCCCTTATCCCCCAGCAGGTGAGAGAAGAGGAAATTGCAAAGCAGATTTTTTTTTTTTGTTTCTTTTCCGGATACATACCTGACAGGCACAGTTTCCACCTGCAAAAAGAAGCAGAGCAAATTAAGAAATAACTCACTCAATTTGTGTGGACTAGCACCAGTAGATCCTACAGTACAAGTATTCTATCCTGAAGTTGGAGAGGAGGACAATTAAGTGAACATTAAACACAAGTCCAAAGGGAAGCTAAATGCTAAAGGAATATATTCTGGAGATGGTAAATAAACATTTCACGACATGAATGAGGAGATGAGGCAGTTAAGCTTTCAGTCTCTCATTTTTCAAGACACATAATTTTTGGTGTCTTTCTAGGCTCTGGCTTGTGAAGGAAACCTGTAGTATGTCACCAGCAAAGCAGAAGAGCTTCATCCCTATCCGTACGTTATAGCTTTAAATTACACTGGAAAACCAATTTGAAATACAAAGATGAGAAATAACAGTTTATTGTACTTTTGATGATTTAGGGAAAATGTGAAAAGGGGAATTATGGAATGTCGATGAAGATTCTCGGTCATCCAGGTAGAGTTGTCGGGAAATATTATCATGGCCACTGGACTTCTCTTTTTTTATTTGAAATGTGTCACTGTTTATCCATGTAGCTTCTTCAGAAGTCCAGCTGCCCTGATGGAATGTTTTGTATGACTAAAGCGCTGAAAGTTGACTGGCCATTGTGCTAAAAGTATTGTTTGATGGAAGTATATCATACAGGGAAGGAAACAGAGCACTAAGCAAATGATTCAAACTTATGCAGGCTGTATGACAAGAACGTAAGTCCTCTTGGTTGTTTAATGTAATCACAATTTCCTTATCACAATGCTTATGGTAACATTAGAGGGTACAGACATTAACAGATGCACTCCTTTGTATGCAGACAAAGTTGCTGACTGAGAAATCAAGAGATTTGTAGTGAATATTAAGGTTATATTACGGTGTAATAAGGAGTATGGATCTGTAAATTAATGCATCAAAGACTAAAGCACTTCCATTGAAGAGAGAGAGAGAGAGAGAGAAAAGAATGGCTGCATATTTTGCGCAAATGTAGAAAAAATAAACCACCCTAGAGCAAGTGCCTGAATTTGTTAGTTGATAGAGCAGTTAACATATAGGGGACTGCATGGATGAATTTTAAATTGCGTAAATGGGGGCAGAAAAGTAAGGGATGATATGTGATCTATTGTGAGGAATGCATGTTAATCAAACCAAGCAGAAAAGGCTTTGCCAAAGAGCAAGCTTCTGCCTACTTTGTTATTTAAAAGTAAGAGTTAATTTGTCAGGAGAAAAATAAACATCCAAAGTTGCAGGCTAATTACATGTGCATGGTGAAACAAGAAGAGGCAGAATCAAGATTATTAGGTGTCAAATCCATGTGGACCGGATTAAAAAGTGAGTTTTACCAGGCCTGAAGAAGCAAGTTGAGATGGTTTGGCCATCTAGACAAAATGAATGATGACTGAATCATAAAACGAACATATGAAGGAACAGTGAACGGGAAAGCTGAGAAAATCACGAATACAGTTGATGAGACCCTCTGAGCGAGGATATAAGTTTAAAGAACAAAAAAGCAATGCGTGAATTGATTTATGGCAACAAGGGTGATTTGCAAAGGCAGGAAGGTATGGAAAACTATAGTGAGCAGAGCTGGTATAAGTGACATTTAGCCATACAAATAGTCCTTGACTTAAGACCATAATGAGCAGGGTCGATTAAGGTCATAAGTCTTGCTGCCATAAAGCCCATGTGACTGACCCAATTTTATGACTTTTTTTGTGGTGGTTGCTAGGTGTATTTAATAAGGCAACTGTTCACTATGGGGCAGTTATGAGGGATGTGGCTGCTGGAACTGGGCTCTAAGTACCTCTGAGGAGAAATATCAAAATTTTGAACATTGCTAAATGACTGGTCATAACTTGAGGATTAACTATATTTTCTTTTATTGTTTCTTTTTTGTATTTATATACCTTATTAGTTTTTACTCCTTTTCTGCCTTTTGCATGTTGCTTATCCTGAAAGGGAATATCATACAGGTAATCCTCGACTTACAACAGTTCATTTAGTGACCGTTCAAAGTTACAACCGCACTGAAAAAAGTGACTTCTGACCATTTTTCACAATTATGACCATGTCATGTAATCAAAAATCAGATGCTTGGCAACTGGTTCATATTTATGACAGCTGCAGTATCCTGGGGTCATTTGATCCCTTTTGCAACCTTCTGACAAGCAAAGTCAAGAAAGGCCGACAAAACACATTTAACAAATGTCTCACTTAGCAACAGAAATTTGGGGCACAATTGTGGTCGTAAGTCGAGGACTACCTGTACTAGGTAGGTAAAGAATGTTTATTTTATTTATTTAAAAATTATAATTCATCTTTTGGCTTGAGGATGAACTGCCAGCAAAGCAGGTTAATTTTACACTTAATTTTATAAATGTGTACATTTAGTAAAAGAAGTAGTTTGATGAAGGGAAAAAGAATGCCATGTTTTCTGATGCATTTTGTAAAGGGGTTTGTCATTAAAGCACATTTGTATCCCTCACATTTAGAGGAATGCATGTTAATAAGCCATTTGCTAAAGCTAAACAGGTCTTGTTTCTGAGGCCTGAATTGAAGGCTGTCTGGGAACTTCCCTAGATCCAGCTTGCTCACTAGGGGAAAAACAGGATAAATATAGATAGCTTTTCAGTAACCATTAACTGACTCCTTTCGTCACATTTTCCCCTGAACTTTTTTTTAGTGATTATTCAAGGAAGTGCTAGAAAGACAACATATTTTAAACTGGAGTTGTGGTTTTTCCTTGAACAGCTTTGCTGGATAGAATCCAGAGCCAACATGGGTTCTTTGGGCACTATGAAACTCAAGGGCTTTGTATTGAGGAGTTCGCAGTACTTTCTCAAGGCAGACAATTTCCCATGCGATTTGTATCAGAGCCATTCCTTTAACAATCCTGCTACCGTAGCCATAGCAACTTACTGTAATGTAAAAAGATGACATAAAAACCATGGCTTATCATTTGTGTTACAGGAAATGGAAATGAAAAGAGCAAATGGTCTTCCCTACTGAGGAGCAGGAGGAAGAAGAAGAGAATGTCAGCTGAAGTTTACCTTGCCATCTTTGTCAAGACTGCAAGAAATGGGACAGGGAGGGAGGGAAGGAGAGAGGGAGGAATTCTCATTGCCACCCTGGGGAAAAGGAGGAAGGATGGGAAGACAGGTAGAGATAACAATACTAGATGTCATTAAAAAGCCAAACAGAAATTCACCTTCTCTCGCAGCATACTGCAAAATGTCAAGTCTAGTTACGGACAAGACATAAAACAAGCAATCAATAAAGGCAAACGTTTTCAGATTGTAAATTACAGTAGTGGCCAAAATTGTGGAAACCTTTTGGGAAAAGTGTATTTTTAAGGTTTGATGGCTAATAACACCACTTTTGGGGGGGGATTTTCAAGATTCATATTCCACTGCTGGAATGGCCTGGGAATAGCCCAAACCTTAACCTAATTGAAAATCTATGGAGCCGACTAAAGAAACTTGTTAGTCAGAAGTGACCCAGCAATAAAACCCAGTTAACAGAAGCAATCATCCAATCTTGGTTTCACATTATAACAGCTGCAGAACTAAAAGACTTGGTTCACTCCATGGGAAGACGTTGTAAGGCCATAATTCATGCTAAAGGTTACCCAACTAAGTATTAACTGACATGATAATTTTTGTATATCTCATTTTTTCTACGTGTTTCACTTTTCTTCCTTATACTGTAACTGCTATTCTAATAGCAAATCCTTCATAGAAGTTATTGCATTACATTGTTTAATTATCTTTCCGTTGATATATAATTTTATGGTACTTCTCCAAAAAAAAGTGGTGTTATTAGCTAGTTTTAGAAAATACGCTTTTCCCAAAAGGTTTCCACAATTTTGGCCACTACTGTAATACATGGGAACTTCTTGGAGCCCATGTTTTTCTCACCCAGGTAGGAGATAACCCATTTCTCTGAATTGCCCCACACCCTCCTGGTCCATCACTTTCCCTGTACCTCAGTGTGTAGCATGAACAAGACTAAGGAAGAGTAAATTTGATCTGCACTCCAAGTCCTCTAAGTTCAACCCCCATCTCAAGTTAAGTGTAGGAAGTTTCACCTGCAGCCCTGATGAGATCTCAGAGTTGTCAAGTCTGCGCTGTATCTGCTCCATGCTCTTCTTCAACTCAGAAATCTCTTCTATTAATTGTAAAGAAACATTTTCCAGTCTGAGCATACACTTTTCTTCTTCTCTAGCCAGTTCCATCAGCATCCTTCCTTCCTCCTCTCGTAGGATCTGATGAAGATGTTGAAATGCTGCTTGGATCTCCGAGTTCAGTTTCCCAGATGTTTTCTGGAGAGAGGAAAAGATCACAAGAAATAGAAACAAGGTGTATGTCTGATATATTCAACCGCTATCTGTTTCAAAAGAAATTACCAATGTATCGTCACTTTGTTAAGATGAGAGCAAAGCATGCTTTTATTTTTAAAGCATTCCGCACAGCCACAGGGTGGCAGCTGTATCTATTCTACTATTTAATCTGGAATTGTCCTGTCTCACTTTTACAGAGAATACAGATGTTGCAGTTAATTCATCGCACCACAATTTTCTCAAGCTGTTCCTCGGTCTTCTTTCAAACAGACTTGAAGATTTTTCTCATTTAAAGGCAATTATGGTCCTATTCTTTTAGCATGGTCTGGCAGAACACTATCGAGTCTTTTCAGAGCTACTGCAACTTTAATTTGAAGCTTCTTTTTTGTGACTTATTTCTCTAATTGCTTCCTGTTCAGTGTAACTGCAAGATTACTTTGTTCCTTGATTGGTCTTTATGTGAATAGTTCCTTTTCCACGTGGAATAGTTATAATTACTTGACTCCCCTTGTTCATTTTCTCCTGTAACTTTTATTGAAAAATATTGCTATATTTACATTAAAAACAGTCCTATCACAACAGGATGTGACGCAAATGCATAATTAGCACTTATGCAGCAATTAATCAGTAATATTACATTAACAGCAAACAAGAGTCAGAAGCTGAAGGTATGGGTTTTTCAAAACACCTGGAGGACACCTGATTGAAGTGGGCCTTTTCTGCTAAATGCTCGCAAAAGATTTGCCTTTCACTTTCATTTGGGTTTTTAAAAATTCAGATGTATTAAAAGTGCATACACATAAACCCTTTACCATCTTTTGTAAGCTGGTAAGTGTTTTGTCTGCCCCTCTCCAGTGTCCTACAAACATGGCAGTCCAATACAGTGAAGGAAGAAGTCCTTGCCTCATTACATTATCATTGACCTCCTCTCTTTCCTGCCGTTCGATTTCATTGTACACAAAATTATAAAAACTAATTACATACTGCTTATATTCAGGGGCACCAAAATAAGCCCCAATGCTCATTTGTCTTGTATTATTTGATTTCTCTTTCTTTCTTTCTAACACTCCTCTAGTGTACATTGAATGTGAGGCTTTCTGTAGTGAGTCTCAATGGGCTCAAAATGATTAGAAGTTTGAATTCAAATTACTCCTTTTGAAGTGAACATTATTTGCTACTTACTGTCATTTCAAACTAGCAACTCTTATTAGACTACCAAAGCCTTTCAGAAATTGTCATCATATATTATATATATAATGAATGAAGAGCTAACAGAATGATTACAGAAACAGCTTTCATGAACTTAAATCTAATGCTTCGGAGATCTGCCTGCTTCCAACCTTTACCTTGGATAAATTTTGTTGAAGGTGGATTAGATGTACTGTTTTCTCTGATGAACTGGAAGACTGTTATTACTTATCATGTTCCTTCACCTTGATGACACTTTAAGGATAAATCATAGGCTTAAATTTTTTTAAAAAGCCCATTTAATGATTACCGTGGCTGTTCAGAAGAAGCTGCACAATATTTAATATTATTTCTGACAAGACGTCAAGAGGAAAACTAAGATGGCTTAGCAAATATATCTCCCACACCCAGATGTATGCATGTTTGTATTCCTTGATTATAAAAAAAAACAAAACCCTTAATGTTAGTCAAATTTCAATCCAGAAAGGACATTTTCAGGTGATATACATTTAATATTCTAATATATATCAGAATGAAGTACATGAGAAAAGCAGAGCGTTCTTTCATTCTAATTTTTAAATTATTAGTGATTGCTATATTATCAAGGCGGCCAATGTGGCACAGTCATTAAGACTTTGAACTGGGAAGATCCAAGTTCAAGTCTCATTCAGTCACAGAATTCACAATTCCTAGCCAGTCATCACTCACATGGTTGTGTTACAGATAAAATGGATACCCTACATATCTTGGTATAGAAGAAACCACAGGATAGAGATATTATAATAAACACAAAGCAAGCCAACCAATATTTAACATTCTGCCTAATTAACCGAGAATGCCCTCGCCCATGCCAACCTAGTTTTCTTGAGGGTAGGACATAAACAATTTGAGAAAGTTCACACAAACCAAAGTTTCATGCAAACCAAGGCAGTTCTTCTCCACCAACCTCAAGTTTAGGACTTTCTGTTGGCAATTTTTAACTGGACTTAAAACACAATGAATGGCAATGCTGCTAAAAAGGTAAGAGTAATGCGATCAGCAAACCACATGTCAGAAAGAATCACTCCTTAACCACAAATTCCAAGTGTTCTACATTTTAGTGGTTTCAAAGAGAAATAATCACAAGATGGAGAAAGTGGACAAATATGTCTTCTCCTGTAAAGAGCATACTAGCAGAGTGTAGACAATGACACCATGACCACCAGTGGTGAGTTTCAACCGGTGTTACCACCGGTTCGCTTTGCGCATGCGCCGTTTGGGCAATTTACAGAGTCAGCATATTTCCCCCATCAACCTGGGTCCTCATTTTAATGACCTTGGAAGGATGGAAGTCTGAGTTAATCTTGAGCCAGTCAGGATCGAACTCCTGGCAGTGCTGAGAAGAGCCAGCTGCAATACTGCACTTTAACCACTACGCCACTATGGCTCTACCAGTTTTTCCCCCCATTCATCTGTGCATGCACACGCACACGCATAATTACTTCAGGGAGATTTGAGAAAGTTTGCTCTGCTTTTATCCCAATATTATTAATAGCATCATTATCTCAGTGTTTGTTTTAGAGGCATTTCTTTGGCAAATGCATTTCAGCAGTACAATATTATTTTTTCTTTTAAGATGCCATCATAATCAAACATCTGTGTTATTTCGTATGCTATAGTTCGAAACTTTGACATGGAAGAGCCTTCTCCTTTGACCTTATTTTTTGTTATTTTGCTGGTTTTCTTCACAGAAATCACTCTGTGAAATATGACTTCTAAGCCTTATGGCACAGAGCAGAAAAAAGATTGGTTTAATGGGGTTAAGCTCTTTTTCCATCTGCGTACTCTCCCCAGTAATTCCTCCTTACTCTGTGCAAAACCCACAATTAGAGAGATTAATCTTTTATTCTGCTAAGAGGCCTCAGCAGTTCATTGATTATCTGGGAAGATGATTTAGTTTGCCTTGTGACAACGCAGAAGCAACTGTTCTTTATTGACTGCTCTATCTTATTTTGCCTGTAGTTTAAGAATAGTGTTAGGAGGAAAAAGTCACACAACACAAGGAATCCCAGCTTTGGTCCTATCGATTGGATAAGTCTTACAATGCAAACAATATGCTTATAATACAAACCCGTGATGGTGAACCTATGATACACGTGCCAGACATGGCACACAGAGCCCTCTCTGTGGGCACGCACGCAGTTGCCACAGCCCAGCTCCAATCGCCATTTCTCCATTGCATTTCAATCAATTCCAACTTCTTGCAAAATAGATCTCGTGAAGTTGGAATTGATTGGAACTTTTTTCACTCATGCACTTCACAATGGGGGAAGACGGGGTCTCGTCCTCCTCCTGAAGCCCATTACGATACGGAGCCGCAATGCGACCCTGTGTCGGCTCGGTAAATGCAATTGCTTTTCCTGCACAGCTGCCCGTGCTGGGATGCCACGCCTCCCCGCCGCTCAGCTGAGTGTGGGCGCGCTGCTCCTGGGCTTGTTGGCCTTCGAACGTCATTCCCACCACCCAGCACCAGTTCAGGGGATCCTTCAAGGGGACAGAGAAATAGAGAGAGGTAAAGAGAGAAATAGAGGGAGGTAAAGAAAGAGAAACGGGGGGGGGGGGGAGAGAAAGAGAGAGGGCATGAAAGAGAGCGAGGGAAAGAGAGAGAGAGAAATGATATTACCAAAGTTTTTCTTTGTTATTGTTGCTAAACGTAGTATTTCAAAAGCAGGAAAAAAAATGAAGGGGCATAAAAGTGCATTTATCACGTTTTTCTTAGAACAATTGGCTGAACTCTGCATTTTTTTATCCTTATTTTAGGAAGTAAAACCTCATTATTCAGGTTAAATTGCCTTGTTGGCACTTTGTGATAAATAAGTGGGTTTTGGTTTGCAATTTGGGCACTCGGTCTCTAAAAGGTTCGCCATCACTGGCCTTCACTGTGGGTTGTTTTTCATCTTCCTTTTATATATTTTCTGCAATTAAGATTGTCTTGATTGTTCAATTTCAGTGCTTTCTGGCAGGGACAAAATACCCCACCTCTGCCAAACCCCAAATCTCCCACCCCTGACGTTATCTCTAGCATGTTAGCCATTTGCTTCTGACCCTAAACCGGTAATATTACCACCAAATATTTGGCATTTTTCTCATTCTTTTGCTTCATCTCCAGCAGTTTCTCACATTTCCTCTGGTAGGTCTGAAGGACCTTTTGGAGCTCCATCTGAAAGTGAATGAATGAATAAGTAAAGCCTTTATTCATCGGAATAACTTCCAATATTAATTTTGGAGTCAGTACAATAAAGATTTGCAGTTTGATCAAGATTTTTTCCCCAGCCTCGCCTATTCCATGAAGTTGCTTGTTAGAACTCAAATAGCACCTGAATCTCCCTTGATCTTCCTTAGCGAAAGGATAATATGAAAATAGTGAGCATGATGTTGTTTTCTTCTCTTTATGCATTTTTTTCCCAATCACTAACCTCTCCAAAGGCATCCAGAGGTGGGAAGGAATGATAAATCATGTACAGTGACATTGTGATACAAATCTTGTCATCTTCCTCTTTGCATCCAATGCCAGGACACAAGTACAGTATGAAAAGGGTGAGATATAAATATGGAAGCTCCCGCTTGGTGCTGACAATGGATGCAAACATGTAAGTTCCAGAGTTGGCACTGTGCTTATGAGCCTCTCTTTACTTGTTTTACCACTGTTCCCTAATCAGTAATTATTATCACCATATTTTTTATTCATTTATCAGAGACTTCTCTCTCTCTCTCTTGCTTTCTCCACCCACCCTATCTACGAGCTAAAGCAGGGTTCTGCAACTTCCAGAATCCCTCAGCCAGCAAAGCAAAGCTGGCTGAAGAATTCTGGGAGTTGAAGTCTATAAGTCTTAAAGTTGCCAAGGTTGCAGACCCGAGCTAAAGGACCATGCCTAAAAGGTTTTCAGACAAATTGTTGGCTGTGCTCTCATGTGCAGAATTGAACAAAGGTTTCCAATACTGTTTTCTTTCACTTGTGATCTCTTCTCCTATCTTTTTTCTTATGTAAAAAAAAAAAAAATCAGTTAGAAAAATGGACTACCTTTTCACTGGCAGCCATTTCCTGGCTATAAGGAAACATCCTTACAAATCAATCTTGGTCAATCAGTTGGGAACTCAGATCTCTGAAACATAAGGACCTTAGTCCCAATCTCTTCCTCAGGAATTTTCCTCCTAACCTCTGTTTGTCCCAATGGCAGATAAGGATGCTAGACAAATTCTTGCTCTTTAGTATTGCACTGCAAAGAACAACACTGTGAGGTGAGGAGAACGAAATTAAGCAAAGGATTAAAACTTCAAATAAGTTAAAGATAGGACTAAAACAAAATGCAATGGAGAGGGAAAAGATAATCTTCTCTCTCAGCTCACTTCACCTCACAGGGTGTTCATCAAGTGGAAAATAGAAGGAGAAAGGACTATTAGGTATGTTCCCTGCCCTGGATTATTTATGAAAATAATAAAGGTGGAATTTATTTAAAATTTACTTTAAAATGGTAGATACCATCAGTTGCCAAAGTAAATTGAAAAGATCTTGGAGAGAATGGAATTAAAACAAAAATATAAAATATCTTGATCCAAAAGCTGAAGAAGCTTCTTGGATGAGAAGCGAAATGTCTTCAAAGAAAAATCAGAAAGTCCAGTTGCCTCTTGGAAAAAGCACCTTTGGGTCTTGATCCAAAAGTTATCTGACTTTTCTTCAGCAATTTCATGATTAAGTATTTGCTAGAAGATATGAGGTATGTTTGCACACCATGGAAAATTAAACTTCTTCAGAAATGTGTGATATGTCCACAATGTTTGATAACACCCATTTTCATGATTCCATCTGTAATGGATGTATCTTTCTTTTTATGTGAATAGAACTGGCTTGTCTTCTCCAAGCCAACCAAAATCAGAAGCCATGCAAACCAAGAACAATCCATGATGAGTTTGTAAAAGAGGAAGAAACCACAGTTCGTTTTATTCACTGTGATTCTGACAGATAAACCATAGACAAAACTAATCAAGTTCATCAATCATGTCCGTAAGAGGCATATTGGCTTAATTCAGGTTTTTTTGGGTGCCTTTGAGTCATTGTTGATTCCTGTGACTGCCTGAATTAGTCCTGCAGTTTTCTTGGCAAGATTTTTCAGATGTGACTTGCTTTTGCCTGCTTTCTAAAGTTGAAAGACAGCACAGTGACTGGCCCAAAGTCACCCTGCAGGCTTTGTGCCTAAGGCAGGACTAGAATTTATAATCTCCTGGTTTATAGCCAGATGCCCAAACTGGATCTCTACTGCAATGTGCCACATGCTAAACATGCTACTAGCCAAATGGCCAAGGAAAATTGTTTCTCACATGGTTACTTACTTCGGTTTTTCTTCTGTGCTCCTCAGAGGCAGATCTTCGAACTGTCTCCACTATATTAGATACAATGAAATTGGGATGAAAGGATCGGGAAGGAAACTTTTGCAGACACAGGGGGCAGGTGGCAATTCTGGGGCATCCATTCCAATATTTCTGGATGCACTCTTTACAAAAATGGTGCATGCATTCCAGCATGACAGGGTTCCTGAAGAGGTCATAGCATATGGAACAGGTCAATTCTTCTTGAATGCTCTGCTCCTGGCTCTTGCCAGCCATTTCTGCAAAAATATAAGAGAGGGTCTAAATTTCAATTCTTCCAGAACAAGAGTTTTACAAGTGGAACATACTGAGAAACGCATGATTAGTTTAGATACTTCCCCTAAACACATAAGCAGGCCTGCATATCTACACCCCCTTGTATAAAAGCTTCCGCCTGTAGGCAAATGTGAAGCGATCAGTAAAAGCATTTCTTCATATATAGAAAAGTAGCAAAAAGAAATGCAACACGTTTTGATTTTTTTTTTATAGGTAGCAGGGAAGTCTATTTTGAAATCCGATGCCCTTCCGGTGAATTCAATCTGAACCACAGTACAGGGGAATAAGAAAGGGCTACCAGATCTCAAAACCGCCAGTTTGGCAGGTTTTCTCCCTCCCCACCCTCTTTGCTGCCCTCCAGTGGCCATTTGGAGTTTTGCAGACCAGATTTGCTCGCTCCAAACAGAAATCACAACACTCCGAAAAGACAATCCGGAGTCGCAAGTTGCCTGTTAAGAAAAGAAAAACATGGCATCGCGGAGACCCAGTTCTCATCTCAACAGCCGCCTGCATAAAAGCAAGCTGCATAATAGTTTTTCTCGACCCGACCCCAAGAATAGTGCCAAGAACAGGAGGGGCGGAGCGATTCAAACAACAGCCCCAACACCTAAGGATCCCTAAAGAAAAGCAAATGCTGCTCCCCAAAGCCCCATGGAGCTATAAGGGCTGGGCGAAGGGATACCCGTTGCTGACACCCCACCCCGGCCCTTGCTCACTACGGGCCAAGACAACGACTGGGCTGCCACCCCTTCCTCAGCATCAACGCCCTGCGCCGTCGCCCCCCGTGTTTCACTAACCCACCACGTTGCGCCTTCGCCGAGGGACTAGGCTAAAATCCCCAATTTAAGACTCCAAACTGCACTCACCTTGCTTGAGCGGCGGCCCTTTGCGCCAATCGGGACAGTCCCTGACGGCCGATCTCGCTCTCTATTGGTCAACTCTTTTGTCGGGCCCCGGAGGCTGCTGATGTTGCCGCGAAAGCCTTCCGGGCGCTGCTCGCCTCTTCCGTCCTTCGGCGTTATTTGCTGCAAGGAGAAAGACGCGCTTTGAAGTTTTGCAGTGGCTGAACTCGGTAGCAGGGGCTTTTTTCTGTTGGCTGCAAAAGCCGAGGAAGTTTGCATTCAGGACTTAATTTTGTGAGCTCTTTAATTAGGGAGGAGCAACGGTGGAAGCCTGCAATTGGTCATTACCCAAACAAACAACTTTTATCTCTTGCGGAGTTGGCTAAATTGCGCAATTTAATACAGTATTATGCCGCACACCTTTACCCCACTTTCTTATGTAAGGGGCAAAACTCAAATGACAGCCCTGCAACCAATTGGGCCAATATTTTGAAAGGCCTCGGTAAATCCTCCCCTTTTTTCTGTTCTATTTCTCTATCGGTCCACTAAAGATGAGAATCAGATATAAATATGGCAAATAACAGTTTAGAAGGCTTGATTTTAAGCATTGAAGTAAACTTTTTGGGGGTTGCATAGCAGCTGACGTGTTTATCTCTTTTGGCCATCAAAATGATACTTTCCATGCTGCCTTCTTGGTTGCAAAGCTTTGAGCTGTTTCTGTAAATTTGCAATCTAAGCCAGCACAGGCTCAGCTGAGATAGGGTACATAGATCTGTTTTCTACTAGGTTGGCTAACTGGTTTTCCTTGGCAAGTTACAGGGATCATTAGATGTATAGGGATAGCAACAAAAGCATTTGGAAAGGGGGGAATCATCATCATTGTGCTTCCAGAACAATTGGGCAACAACAAAGTAGTCCTGCTAAAATGTCCCAAAAGTAGTTTTTCAAGAGGCAACTGAACTTTCTTGATTTGTTTTTGAAGACGTTTCGCTTCTTATCCAAGAAGCTTCTTCAGAATTGAAGAAGTCTTCAAAATAAAAACAAGAAAGTCCAGTTGCCTCTTGAAAAACCACCTTTGAGACAACCATGAACTGGATGACTGAGAATCTCCAAAGACATCCTGCTGAAATGGGATCTTGAAATGGCTTTAGTTCACCATTCACTTGAATCAACATATGCATCAGGTAACAGACAAGACTGTCTCTATTGCCCTATAGAACAATTGCCCTGTTTTTAGTGTACATCTTCAGGAATACAGAAGAATTTTGAAATATCATTGACTGATTGATGTGCCATCAAGTTGTTATTGACTCTTAGCAACCACATAGATATATTTTTGTACAGGATGATCTATCACTAACCTGGTCTTTCAGGTCTTCCAGTGATGCACTCATCACCCCTGAAACTCAGATTATCCACCTTGTTGTTGGTTGTCCTCTTTCCTTCACCTTTCCTAGCATTAGAATTTTCTGGAGAGAGCTGGATCTTTGAATAATGTGCCTGACAGAATAATTTGTGCCTGGTCATTGTGCCTTGAGTGACAGTTCAGGGACAATGATCCCAGAATTCTTGTTCTGTGATCCATCAGTTTGTTTTCTTGGCTATAGAATATCATATAATAACCCAAACATGGAACTGGCCCTTGAGCTATAGCTGCTTAACAAATTTAAGTCATTTTTAAAATTAAATTGATGTGCCGTCTATCTCGCCCAGAGGTGACTCTAGGCGGCTTACAACCAAATAAAAAACATTAAACATTAACATTAAAACTGACTTAAAAATTAAATGTGATATCCATATTTGAAGGTGGTTCTGAAGAGTTCTTGGAACCTAGCGTTAAGCTCCATAAGCAATTCCATCTTAGTTTATTTAGCTGTGATTTATGTCTGGAGGCCCCTGGGTAAAAGGCCATACAAGATGTCTCTACCTTGAACCTTTGTCATAAGTATTAGTCCTAGGCATAACTCTTGTGCACATGAAGTTTTGTAGCTCAGGGCAGACTTCAATAAGAACCTGCATTAGATCATAATTGAATGTGGGCCTGATAAATTCCTAGAGCTACCTAGTTACACTGTGGAGTATAATATTGCATTCCCATTCCACTAAATTGTCAGATTGGGATGTACAGTTTCATTAATTTCAACAATATTGTTTTTCAGTGTACTATAGAAGTGGGAAATATAAACCCCATTAAATTGCAAAGCAATATATTCCTCTCCTACTTTACTTTCTGAAGGTTTATTTGCAAACCTACATTGAAATACTGGTTTTAAGTTGTACCTCTCTTGAACTCTACAAGAGGGTGAAATGTGCTTTTTCTAATTTCCTTTACTAGGCAGAAGAAACAAGTATTGACAATTGTTCAAACCCTGTGAGACCAAGAATCTTTGTGGTACAGAGAGAAAAACTACCAAGTCCTAGGACCACAGAAAGTGTCTTTCATAAATAAATTTAAGAATGAAGTTATTGCTTTCTACTACTTAAAGCAGTGCAGGTAATAAGAAAATCATTTTGATTAGTATAATCTTGATTGTGGAAAAAGCAGATCCACAGATTTACTTAGGCAAAGAGGTCACTGATGCAAAGAGTTATAACTGGCTTTGCTTTGATGAGAACAACGATAAATAATTATTTAGCATTATGCTAATTAATAGAGGCAAGCCTCAATTCATACATTTTCCTCTTCTTTCACCTCTTTTGACAATGGTTGTATGAGCGCAGAATTGCTTGCTTTCTCATTTTTAAATTTCTAATTTATTAACACATTTTAAAATTTCAAATCTCATATCCAAGAGAGGCTGGTCTCTCTCACCTTAACCTATCTCATAAAATTGTTACAAAGTGCAAATGAACAAACCCCCATTTAGGATATCCTGGGCTTATAGAATTTAGGATATGGGAGTCAGACACTGCAGATTCACTTTAGCCCAAGATTACTGATAGTGGTTCTGTTTCAGTCAGCCTTTCAAACAGGATATGGTGTTGAAATTGATGTGGTCAGCTTGATGAATTAACCAGGGCTGGAAACTGGATACAGCAAGCACAGCATTGCCTGTTTTACTTGCTATAAATTGTTTTTTAAAAAAACTAGATGTTTGTAGCTTTTCCTCATAGGGAAATTGCTTTAGTTCCAGGATAACTTCATCTACTCTTCTTTGTGCATTTTCCTCACGTTCCTAATATTATTTTACAGAGATAATTGTCAGAACTGTGCAGAATACCCCAAATTATGTTTCATTGTAGATTTATATGAAAGCATTATTATTAGCTTTTTGGTAATTTTATTTTTTGTTCTCTCTTCCTAATGATTCCAAGCACGAATTATACCTTTGTTAGACCTACATACTGAGTTGATCATGATTCCAAGATTTGTCAATTATTGCTATTAACACACAAGTGAAATCTTAACATACAATATTTCATAGCTGCTAATACTAAAAGTCATTCTGGGAAAGTCTTGATATGAAGTGTGAACCGAGGGCATAGCTAATCATGCGTCCATGTCATATGCTGGTTGTTGATAGTTTGGAGAATGTACTGGTTTTCATTGGCCTGCAACTTAGGGTAGTGTTTTTTGTTTTTTGTTTGCTGGTAACTGGGTAGCTCTGCTCCTAATAGCCAGTGAATATGATTGCAAATATTGTCAGCCTCGTGAGGTAGTCCAGACAAGAAGCACACCAAGGAGTACTATCTCTATCTTTATTGTAAGGTTACACCAACAGAATTGGTGACATCTCTTCCCCCTCGCCTTTACAGACAAAGGAGGGTTCCTTCTGAGGTGTTTGCCATGCCTAAATTTCTTCTGTGAGCTCAGCTGCTGCCTCTTATCTGACCATTGTCTACTTTGTGGCTCTTCCTCCTTTCTCCCAAAGTCATTCCCACATATCATTACATATATGAGAGAAGGAGGAAAAATATGGCCTGGGCTGTAGTAAACCCACTCACATAATCCCCTTCCTCCCCCTGTTTTTTATTGATTAGTGTCGTGCAGAATGCTTAGATTCCATGTCTCTCCCATTAGACATATTAGACAGATTAACAGAGTTGGAAGGGACTTTATAGGTCATCTAGTCCAACACCCCCCCCACAAGCAGGACACCCTACACCATTTCTGACAAATGGCAGTCCAATCTTTTCTTGAAAGTCTCAAGTGATGAAGCTCCCACAACTTCAGAAGGCAACTTCTGTTCCATTGGTTGATTGTTCTCACTGTCAGAAAGTTCCTCCTCATTTCTAGGTTGAATCTCTCCTTGGTCAGTTTCCATCCATTATTCCTTGTCTGGCCTTCAGGTGCTTTGGAAAACAGCTTGACCCCTTCCTTTCTGTGGCAGCCCCTCAAATATTGGAAGACTGCTATCATGCCTCCTCTGGTCCTTCTCTTCACTAGACTAGCCATGCCCAGTTCCTGTAACAGTTCTTCATATGTTTTAGCCTCCAGTCCCCTAATCATCCTCTGCATTCTTGCTCTCCTCTGCATTCACACAGAAGGATTCCAAACTTCTGATGTACACTAGAAGGTGATTGGGAATTACTTTTCAGCAGTGCAAAGTTACATGTTGTGGTTCCTACATGGCAGCCCATAATAGTCAATTATTATTCAATCAATAATATTGATTGAAATGCCTTTGTCATGTAAAGGGAACATAGCCAATAATTACTTTGGAAGCCAAGGGTCTCAAAACCGTGGTGAAGAAATTGATGAAACGTAAATGTATTTGGTACAGTGCAAGTCTTACATTCTCCCTAAGGTGGCAGTGTGGCAAATATAATTAGTTTGCAGGAATTTGAAATATGCTTTTTTAACTGGGGGGGGGGGTAGGATTTGCCCTCCCAGCAACATCTCAAGCATGATTGTAAG